AGTACCCATACGGATAAATCTAATGGCTAGTAACTAATCCAACTACTTCCTTAGTTCCTTCAACTCAGACGGTGCCATACGATAAGAAGCAATGGATATAGGTTCAGTACCTAGATACAAGTCAATGGTGCACTTGATCTCTCTCTGTGGGGGTAATTCAAATAATTCATCCCGGAACACATCTAGAAACACCACCAAAATGAAGTTAGACTGAGGTTTGTCTCATACCTCTCCCAATAAGTTAGCAAAAAAACTCAAGCTACTATCCGCCTTAGCTTTCAAGAATTTTCTACTCGTAGTAGGGCATGGATGAAAAGAACTCCCCTTGTTGGTGAAGCTAAATGTTACTCCATGTAATTGGAATACTATCCGCTTCCAAAAACAATCCATTATGGCATGGTAGGCAGACAATAGATCTATTCCAAATATAACATCATATCCCTTCATCTCTAATGTCAATAAATCCACTTGTAATTCCTACTCTCCAATTTACACACTCTTGTTGTGTCCATATGTTTCCCTGTAGGTAGTTCAACACTGAAAGAGTTTTCTATGTCATCAAATTTCAAAACCAGGATAATAGCATGTGTTGCTTATGAAAGTGTGTGACACCAGAATCAAAGAGAATACGTGCCCAAGAATTATAGAGATGAACAATACCTTCCACAATAGCATTAAAAACACCCTCATCCAACTAAATCATAGCAAAGACTCAACCTTGATTGTTTGACCCCCTGTGCTCTAGCTCCTTGGTTATTTTGTCCCGCTAAGACTCAACCTTCCACAATACCTTCTATAGGTATTGCTCAAAACTAGATTGCCCCGGTGATGGGATAAATGTGCAGTTTCTACTGAGGTGACCGAACCCTCCACATCCAAAGCAAAGTTGTGTATCCACATTTGGCCTTTTCGGCAAGCCCCCAGTTCTCCAAACTGGTGAATTCCTCTGTCAAGTATCCTAATCTGGGCTGCAGTATTGAGGAGCCTTCTTCACTCCTCAACTGCTATTGCCGGTCCCAGTGTTTCCAAAAGTGTGTCAAGTTGAAGCGAAGTTAAGTGAAGGGAGATAAAAGCGACCCAAGTGAGCGATTGTTGCTTAAGAGCAAGGTGCTATTGTTGCTTCTGTCTTCCTGGAGAAAATTCGCAAAAGGTATGTTCTTTTTTTCTCTCCTTATTCTTCTCCTCATCTATTCTTTTTCTACTTCTTTTAATTCTTCTTCTTTTGATTCTCTTATGCTGTTTCTACTTATTTTGCTTACGTTGTTTTTGCTGTTTTGCCTCTTTATGTTTCTATTTTTTTGGCTGAGATTTTATGTTTCTTTTTTTATTTTTTAATGGAACTCTGATTTTCCTGGAATTCTGGAATCATTGGAACTTTGTTTTTATTTTTGCTGGAGTAGACATCTATTTCTATGTTTTTATTTTTATTTTTTGCTTTTGTTTCTACTTCTTCTGCATCTGCTTATGCTTTTGTTGTTTAATGCTTATTGATTTATCTCTTATCGAAAAGATGCTAACTGATTTATTGAATTCTGTAATTGCTTATTTGTGTAGAAGATCATTGATGCGATTACTGTGTGTTAATCTTTTAAGATCTTGTCCTTTGAAAAATAGCTAAAACAGTTGTAAAACATGTCTCTTAGGGTATTTATTGGGTCAAAACTATTCAAGAGGTGCAGATAATCAGGTAGAATTGCGTATTCGTGTTCGAATGGAGGCATTGGCGTTCGAACAGGCAAGATTTCGGTCGAATGAAGCATTTTGCGTTCGAACGGGTTTTGCTCTTGGTATCTCCTGTTTTGTCTGCTGAAAATCCATCAGGCTTATCTTGCGTTCAAATGGGACATGGTGCGTTTGAACGCACTCCAAGTTTTTGTAACCAGTCCCAATTTTTGAAGCCTATTTTGACCTTGTTAGAACTCGATTAATAAAATTTTTGTGAAATGCACTTTTATAGTTCTTGAAGTTTACTTGCTAATATCGGTGATCAGGGTAAAAAGTTATGACTTACGCACTGAGGTAGTATTAAATTCTTTCCAAACCAAACTTTCTCTAGTATATGTTCCAAGCACAACACTTAACATCATCTATCCCAAGGTTTTTCAACGCCCTGAATTCGTTTTTAATATTATTTTCATCTAATTATGTTTAGGATTTCACTAAGTCAAATCGTCCAAAAGATTATTACTCTAACAACTTCTGCAATAATCATTTAACAATCACCTATTTATCAGAACCTCACAATACATAATAATCTAATATCAATTTAAAATAAATACCTGGGGGCTTACATATCTTGTCCATCTTTGTGAGGATAATTTTAATTTTATTTTGATGCAATCTCTAGAATATATTGTTGCTGCCATAGTGCTTTTGTATCAGGTTGCAACCTTTTTTCATTATTACCATTTTTGTATTCATCACAAAACCACATAATGTAAACCAGCTAAACAATGCAATACTGAACTAGTTAACTTATTAACTAACTCAAAGCTAAAACAATTATTGTCCCCAATTATATAAGATTTTATAACTATGTGATGGAAATCGAAAAGGGATTGGATAAACATCAAATTGGAGATTAAAGATTTTATTTATTTTCATTATTTAGTAGATTGTTTGGTTAGCTAATATTTATCTTATTACGATTGTTTTGGATAGTGTTTTATTAGAAGAATAATTTAGGAGTGTTGAGGAGAGTTAGAGTTGGATTAGATAATAATTTTAGAATTTTAGTAGAGAAAAAGTTTCTATTTTGGTAGGAGACTTGACCTATAAGTATCTATGTATCCCTACTATTTTCATTCCTTCTCTCTTCTCTTGTTTCTATTGTGTGATTTTTCTCTTTTTCCCATCCTTCATTATGATTTTATGTATTCATTTGTACAATTTTTTAAAAATATGTTAATTCAATGTCTGGAGATGATATACATGTAGTACAGTATCTCGATATTTCAAAAGGTTGAGAGATACTAAATATCAACACATAGTTGTTGGGTGGCATAAAGAAGTTTTTCCAGAGTTGACCTACTCTAAACTCAGCATCCTATAAGGTTAACTTAAATGAAGGCAAGGTGTTCAGTATGGTCCACATATTACATACTAATCTTGGCAGTACTTATCTTATTAACGTGATTGATATGCTGATTCTATAGATTATAAAGATTGGGAGGATATTTTAAAATAGCCATTCAAATTACAATCAAATCACGATGAATCATGTATTTGGTCTTTACTGTGCGTTATAGTGGGATATCAACCAAGGGGCCTCTTTTTTCAGTAGTTCTTTTTCCTTTTTCCTTTTTTCTTCATTTGTATGATGATCCATGCCATATCTTTTGACCCAAATTACATCCAAGCAGTTGCAGTGTGAATTAATAAGAAACAGAAGCCTTCTCTTCATCCCACGTCTTATATATGCTCAAATTAAAATGTACATAACTCATAAATATATCATACTTTCCTAGTCCTATCGACATATCTTTTTCCCCATTCTTGCTAGTTTTATTTTTCTTTTTTGTCTGGCAATTTGTGGGATTCTAGGAAGTTTACTTTCTTCTCAGTAGCTTCATTTCCTTCTCAGTAGCTTTCAAGTTGACATGTTTGTTGCTTTAGGAATCTGTACACTTATTCCTTTCCCAGTTTTCCTGCAACCTGTCCAATTAAAATTGTTATGTCTCTTTTGTCTGATTCCAATAGATTAAAAGTTGGGTATTTTACTTGGATACGATGCCATAAACACCTTGTTATTTGGGTGCATTTATAAGTTGAAATGATACGCTGTGAAAAGATAGGTTTTTGGAAGTGTTCTGCAAAAGTCTTTTCAAGTATTATGATGTGAAGCCCAAAAGCTATTGTTTTGTGACATTTTGTCGGATTCCAAGAATTAGTATTTTGTGTGGTTTAGTGGGACTCTAGGTCCTCTGGGGGAGAAAATCATGACACCTTTGGTTTTTAATTACCTGGGGAATTTGTTATTGAACTTATTTTGAGTTGGTTCTATCTTGTAATGTTACGTGTTTTGTTTGCTGTCATGGCAATTGAATATGCTGTGAGGCCAACAGAGATTCTGTAATTAAGGGTTGTTCAACTTGGAGAATCAAGTTCCAATAGGACTGTCAATCACTCATGGAGAAAGTGAATATCTATGGGGCTTCCTAATACATTCTACATGAAATGGCTTACTTCCTATACACTTTTAATCCTTATTAGAAAAGTCTAATTGCTTTTGATTACTCATCATTACTTGTTAAAATGTTTACTCACAATATCAACCCAACCTTTGGCATTACTTGCACACTATATCACATAGAGCAAAAACGGAAGAGAGAGTACAAAAGTGGCAAAAGTAAAAAAAAATTTAGATCGGTGCTATATTTCATACACATATACATAAAGTTAATATTATTAAATAAAATATTATTTAAGTTTGATACATATCATTACCAAAAAATATAAAATTAACATTAAATAAATCTCATCAAAATTTTAAAACAAGGATATATCTAATTTAATTTGAAAATAGCAAATGGGAATAAGATTTGTTATGCATCAGTGACTTGATGTGATCTTGATCAATAGAGGTTTTAATACAAAAATAATAAGTGTTTTTACATCAATCTATCGTTTGTTTATTTATATGATGGATGACTTTCACCATCTTTTTGCATTATTTTTAGTCAGTGAAAGGACAAAAAATTTATCAAGTCAGTTAAGCTGTCACATGAATTCAGATAGTCTTGTCATCTTAACAAATTGGTTCAATTCAATATGCGAATTGGGCAAAAACAGAGCGCAAATTTATAATGGATTCGCTCCGAAAGCATGAACCCACGCCTAACTTCACACGAAGTGTGTGACTCAGATTGCACAAAGTGGTTGCCTTCATAGTACTCGCAGTGGTTAACACGAATCTTATCACCCAATTAGTGGCCTTTTTTGTGTGTGTGTGTGTTTTTTTTTTATATGTACTCTTGGTTTGTGTAGGAAACAGGGCACATGCTACATGCATGTGCAAGATTCATGTCACCCACTTCATTGTTCAATTTATGAAAAGTAAAATTTCCCATATACAGTGTTGGAAACATTTGACACTTGCACTCAATGTTGATGGAGTTATAATGAATTAAAAGGGAGATGCAGATTATTTCTCTTAAAAATCCATGTGAAGTTCCTGCTTATAATTTGGTGACTCATGTTTTTTTGCTGCATGGGTAGTCTGAGAAGCTTTTTCCTATTCAGTGGGTACCATAGGGCATGGGCACTGAAAAAATGGTTTCTGAATCATAAGAATAGGGGGTTGGGCGAGTATTTGTGGTTGACCGCACTTGGAAATATATTCTTTGGTTTGGAACTTATGTTTTGCTTCTGCTGGCAGGTGAGAGTAAATGCTCTTTTATGTTTGAGTGATATGGTTCACATACTTGACAAGCATGCTGTAATGGATATTTTGCAAACGATCCAAAGGTGCACAACTGTTGATCACTCTGCTCCAACTCTTATGTGTACCCTTGGAGTTGCCAACTCGATTTCAAAACAGGTATCGTAGCTGTGGTGAGGTAACCAGACTCAGTAGTATATCAGTTTTTGTTTGTGAATTGAGGCTTATAGTTCTTTTGTCTCTGGGTTTATTCAGTATGGAATAGAATTTACTGTGGAGCATGTTCTTCCACTACTCCTGCCTCTTCTCATTGCCCAACAATTGAATGTTCAGCAGTTTGCAAAGTATATGCTGTTTGTTAAGGATATCCTCAGGTACAGTAGATGACGCACAATTGCCAACCCCCCACCCCCAGCATCATTGTATTTGTTTAGAGAATAAAGAGAGATTTAACACAATATGACAGAGGCCGAGAGTAATTAGTTACCCTAACTCACTCTCAACTTGTATTTATAGTTACCTAATAAAACACAAAAGACTAGTATTCCCTAAGAGAGGTATATTTATTACAACCATATTAAATGACAACAATATAATAATAATAATATTCTCAACAGTATTTATGCAAATGCGAAATAGGATATGTAATTAAGTTTTGGACTTTTTTTTTTTCTTTATTTTTTCTGGTTGGGGGGCGTGCTTGGGAGAGTTGAGGGGTCAAAAGTAAATTAAACATCGCCATAGGAGGATTGTATCCCAATGGCCCTGAGAGGGCTGTGAGGATTGCCTTGAGTGCCTCATGTTGGCACCCCGGGTGCAGCAACCTCCGACAATGTGAGGTCAACAGGATGAAATACCCCTATTTTTGCTGACTGTCAGGTTGGGGGCCTGCTATTCCACCATGTAACTGCCTCAGGGCCTCCCTTCTACCTTTTCGACCAGCTAAAAAGAGGAAGATAAAAATTCTTACATGTTGCTTTACTTGAGAGCTGGAATAGTTATTCTAAAATATGATGCATGCAGTATATAAGGTTTTCTGGCAAATTGTTTTAACTAGTGTCATAATCTTTTTTTTTGTTTTCCTGATTCCATTAAATGTTGGTTCTCTATTGTTTGACAATAGGAAGATAGAAGAAAAACGTGGCGTAACTCTGACTGATTCTGGAGTTCCAGAGGTAAGACCATCTCCTGCTTCTGATGGATGTCAGTCAGAACTAGTAACAAAAACTGTTGCGAGTGCTTCACCTACTACAAGGGGTGGTGCATGGGATGAAGATTGGATTCCCACAAGGGGACCTGCCACAACCCTCCTGTCTTCCATGACAAGCACGTCATCCATCCAGTCTGCAGTAGCCAATCAGTCCATTCATGTTTCTTCTACAAACTCACAGTCCTCAACAACTGCAGCATCTAGTCAGCAAATTCCATTGTCATGCCCTGCAGTTGATGTAGAGTGGCCTCCACGGTCGTCTTGTGGTGGTACAACTGCATTAGGTGATCATCAGAAGCTAGATCAAAACAGAGGTGCAACCAATGCAAATTTTGAAGATATTGATCCTTTTGCTGATTGGCCTCCACGGCCTAATGGCTCTTCAAATGCTACTGGATCTGCCATCAATAGTACAATAGCACCGTCTGCTAAGAAATATGGGTCCAGCTTAAATGCAAGTAACCTAAATGGTCTAAATTTTCCAGCCAACAGCAATACTACTTGGGCCTTCAGCCAAAATTCTGTTGAGCCATTGAAGCAGAATCAAGAGAATTCAACATTTGATATTGGTATTCTTACTAGCGGAGGAATCAAACCTCACAACTCTCTTGGATCGTTGAAACAACAAAGTCATGGGATTTCAGGTTTGAGTGGCTCCACAGAGAAAGCTAGAGATCTTGGATCTATATTTGGTTCTACCAAGGCTGAGCAGACTGCACCCAGACTTGCCCCGCCACCATTGACTGCCGTGGGTAGAGGGAGAGGAAGAGGCAGAGGAAATCAAGAGCAACGTGGGGCTACTTCAGTGTTACGATCCAGCAATACCAAACCACCATTGGAGCAGCCGCCATTAATGGATCTGTTGTAGATTGGGGTGGTTGTCAATTTTTGTTTTAGCAAGATGAACGCAGAAATTTATCAGGGATCAACACATGTAAATTCGGACCTCCAAGGTAATCCATTGAATGTTATCCAGAATTACATGGAGATATCTGTCCATATATCCAGCATGCGACTCCAGCTACTCCCCGTGCTGTTAAGGTTGCTTGTAGGATGGTTTGTCACATTTTTGCTTGTAGCACTTGTAGCGTATTGTTTCAAACTTCTCTGTTTTTCTTTTTTCTCTTTATTTCCTTCTCTCTCTCTCCCCCCCCCCACACAAAAAAAAAAAAAAAAAAAAACATT